CTACTGCTACTGCTACTGCTACTTACTCGGACGTTGCTACAGTCAAGCCCCAAACTTCAGGACGGGACGATCAAGAAGCCGCAAACCTGAAGAATTGAAAGACTAAGTAAACCAAAGCTTTAAGCCCAATGCTAGCCACCGTAGACCCAAAGCCCTAACGCTACGCCTGAATCCCCGTTCAATCCACACCTGGACCATGAACAGCCTATGTCATTTTTAAGGACCTCTGGACTGAACTCATAGTAAGTAAGGAACCCCCAAAGGTAGGTTTAGGGTTTAGGGTTTCAGTGGATCTAGAAATTCTTTCGACTCGTTGTTCATGAGGCCGGCCCAGCAAGAACTCCTCCGCGAGACGCTCCGCCGTGCGGGCACCGCTCCAGGGGAGATCGTCCGGGGGCCCAGTAGCCGGGTTCTTTTAGGGTTCAGGGTTTAGGGTTTACGGTCTTGTTAAGGAGCCTAAGAGGGAGGGAGTGGGCTTTGGGTCTGGGATTTAGGGTTAGGGGCTTAATGAGGGTCTGGTGCTTAGGATTCTTGTTTTTGGAATTATGTTCTATGTTACCATAACAGGGATCGCTACTACCTCATAGGGTTTCCTTATCAAGTCCTTAACAAGCACCCTGCGCAGGTTTTCCGGGCTGTCGGGTTCTTTAGATTCCGGGTTCTTTGGAGCATAGGGCTTATAGTAAGGGCTGCTTCGGGATATTTGTTGTAGCTTCTTGCAGTTTTTTATCCGAAGTTTCTGTAAAGCTCGACGTTTGTCCAGGATTCCCCTGCGGGCTGAGGCCAGGCAATGAGCTGAATAGGAGGAAAAGGCGAAGCCCCAATTATTCATTGGTCGCCAGGTTACTTCGGGACGTATCGTTTCTGACAATTAGAAGCCCTAAGCCCTAAACCCCAAACCCTAAACCCTAAAGCCTAAGCCTTTAAAAGGAAAAATCCTGAGCCCTAAATTCCCTAAACCCTACTTAGGGTTTAGGGTTGGGGATGTCGACGTTTCAGGAGTTCTGGCTCAGGGCCTTCTTGTAATATAGGGGCCTTAATGACTGGAAGAGGGTTTTTAAAGCCCATTATACTATAACGGTAACAGTATCGGTCATTATTGAGTCCCCTAAACCCTAAGCCCTAAACCCTAAACCCTAAACCCTACACCCTAAACCGGAACCTACGGTAACCCCTATCGTAAGCCCTGAATTCCCAGAACCCCTGCAACCCCAGCCTCGCCTGTTGGAGGGGTTTTAGGGTTTGTAGGGTTTAGGGTTTAACGTTTAGGGTTTAGGGGTTTAGTTTTTTTTTTTTTAGGGCTTGTTGTTTAGAGTTTAAAGTTTAGGGTTTAGGGGTTTAGGGGTTTAGGGGTTTAGGGGTTGATGGGTTTAGGGTTTAGAATCTGAAGAAGACGCCCCGAAGCGAACCCTAAATCTCTCAATGACAGACTGCACCAAAGGAGTCCAAGCCGAAAGTGTCCCTGTCAGCCTCAAGCCAGTGAAACACGCGCACTAGGCACCCACAGAAGCCCGGCAGCAGCAGGAATTTGCTGACAGACCTAGATGGTTAGTTCTCTAAATTAGGGTCCTTTCTTTGGTCCTTTTTATACGGGTGCCGTATTATTTTGGAGACCTCAAAAGGGACACTAATTTAGAGAACTACCCTTGTAACAATCCCCCCCAACCCCTGCATAAAGTTTCCATGGAGCACCCGAAGAGCCCTCCACAAACCAGCACACCCAGGCCGCCTCCGAGTGCCAGGTGCCTTGGCGTCGGGGCTGAGGGGTTTAGGGGTTTAGGGTTTAGGGTTTAGGGTTGGGTTTAGAGGGTTCTGAAGGTTTTTTGGGTTTTACACGGCGGGGAGGGGTGAAAGGTTGCCCCAAACCCTACATCCTAAGCCATAAGGTCTTTTACAGGGTTTCTGTTCGAGCTTTTAGAGGTGGTGCTGTTGCGGTCTCATGTCGCTTCGTAAGGGTTAGGGTGTTTTGGGTATTTAGGGGCACTTAGGGTTTAGGTTTCCTTGAAGGGGGTGTAGGTAAGCATCCGGAAGCGCGTGATGCGGCATCAACTCTCTGGGTTGTGGACAGGTTGGAGCTGGAGAAGAGGTGGTGGGTTTAGGGTTTAGGGTTTAGGGTAATGGCTTGTGGCTCTTCAACTTCAAACATCTTCGTCAATTCCGCAGCGCTTGGTGACGACTTCACAGGAGGCTCCCGCGCCACGCTGTAGAGCTCCGTTTTATTCTGCCTTCCATGAAACTGGGACACGTTGGCTAACTTTCCCACGACTTCCCCCCGTCTCCGATCTCACAAAGGATTAACTCTCCCCCCCGACAACTCAGAACCCCAAACCCCTTAAGATCCCTTCTAGATTCTAGACCGCTTACAGGAAATCCTAAACCCTTAAACCCTAAACCCCTAAACCCTAAACCCCTGAGCCCCAAGCCCTAACCTCTTACAGGAAACCTTATGGTTGCCTCTTTAGGAATTACAACCACAGGCATGCTAGCAAACTTACCTTCCCAGACCTTCGAAAATCCCGATTGAGTAAGGAATGTATGTTTAAGTTACAGTGGGATCCCTACTGTTGCTTAAAGTCTATTCCTTGACGGACTTCGGCATCCAACATCTCCTAAGTAAGGCATATACCTTAATTTACAGTGTAGGGTTTTTAGTATTGTTTAAGGTATCTTCCTAGGATCCTAACTATTGTTTAAGGTACTATCGAAGCTAACTAATTACCGACATTATTCCTTAGGGGTCCTTATTATAAGTCTAGTATAATGGGGCGCAAAACCTTATTCTAAATATTAAGGCCCCTACGCGAAACTCTTATGGAAACTTTATAATAACCCTTCTAATGCCCCTTTAAAGGAACCCTATTCTAATGATTAAGGCCCCGACATTACATTTCTTCAAAACCTAAACCCTAAACCCTAAACCCTTACCCTAAACCTGTAAGGGAACTCCGAAACCCTAAACCCTAAGCCGAAATGACCCAAGTTTCCTGTCCATGGCAGGCGAATGGCTCTCAGCTTGGGGATCCAATCGAGTCCGGGCCCCCTTTTGGAGTTTAGGGCTTTAGGGTTTTAGGGTTTAGGGGTCTAAAGTTTAAGGGCTTTAGGGTTTTAGGCTTTAGGGTTTAGGGTTTTAGGGTCTAGGGTGCAGGGTTTAGGGTTTTTGGAGCTTTTGGCTTTAGGGTTGGGGTTGCCAGAGACCCCAGCAACCCTTGAATGCAGGCTCTTTCTAGAGCCTCCAACAGTTTTTGACTTCTGACAAAATGCAACCCTAAACACTAAAACCCTTAACCCTAACCCAGCAGGTTACGGTAGGGGCCTTAACAATTAGAATAGGGTTTTGAGATATATTATGCTATTACTATAATAAGGAACCCCCTAAACACTAAAACCCTAAACCCTCAAGCCTCAGGTTAGAGTGGGATCCTGAGCGTGGTGAGTTCTCCAAAGTAGGGTCCCCTCTTCGATCCCCAACACAGTCAGTCACCCTGATAGACAGGACCCCGGCAGGATCCCATTTTTGTATATCTCTCAGATGAGTAAGAGTCTTCTGGGGTGTTGGAGTCTCTCGCTTTGATGGGTTTAAACCCTAAGCCCTAAAACCTACTAAGGTTGTGGAGTTTGCGTTTTTTTTTGTAGTTTAGTGTTTTGGCTTTCAGGCTGCAGGATTTCTGAGTCATAAGGAGTTTAGGTTTCAGGATCTTCGGGCCACCTTAAACCCTAAAGCCTTAAATCCTAGAACCCTCAACCCTAAAAGCCTGAGCATCAAACCCGAAATCTAAGCCTAAACCCTGAGCCATCGATTTTTGATTCGCAGAGCCAAAGATGACACCCCATGGGGAAACCGAAGCCGCGTCCGTCGGATCTATAGTTGAAAGTTTAGGGGTTAAGGTCTTAGGGTTTTGGGTTTAAGGTTCAGGGTATTAGGAGTTTAAGGTTTAGGGGTTTAGGGTTGAAGGTTCAGGGCATTAGGAGTTTAAGGTTTAGGCAGGGCTTTAGGGTTTAAGTTTTAGGGTGTAGGGTT